TTTCAGCACTGGAGGTGGCACTTACTGTATCACCAGCGAGCAGGGGAAGAACATCTCCCTGCTGAGCTCCCATGCCAGGATGAACTTGGAGGTATGGGCTGGGGCTATGGGGAAGGAGTAGGCCCCAGGTTTGGGCATGACCTAAAACTGTACCCTGCCAGGGTTGGAAGGCCTGGTGGGACTGCCAGTGGCCTGGCAGCCCCCCAAAAATGCCAGAACCAAGGACCTCCCTGGTGAAAGGTGGGAAGCCCAGACCCAAGGACCTCCCGGGTGAAAGGTGGGTAGAAGGCACCTTATAGCCTCCAGCCACCATACACATGCACGCGCCTGACTAGGGAAAGCGCAGCCCTGTAAGATCGAGAGGCTTGAGGCTTGCTGGTTGCAGTAGAGTTGTGAGGCTCCAGGTAAGTGTAGCTGCCTGGGATGCCATCTGCAAGGCATGGGCTTTCAGGTTTAAAACCCTTCGTCAGACTGAGGAAGCATCACCAGTTTCCACGTGTGCTCTTCCCAGATGGAAGGAATAGTAAAGAAGCCAGAGGCTGGCATGCAGTCCAGGCAAGAAAGCCAGTCAGTGAAAATGTAAATTGAGGCATCAGGAGGTGAGAGACAGGCTGCGGGGAGGAGGGAAGGGGGATGTAGCAGCTAAAAGTGGAGAGGTCCCTGCTACCTTGGGAGTCAGATGGCAGGCAGGTTGTAGTGTGTCATAAATCACAGGCAAAGGCGAGTGAGATCACTGAGAGCATTGGGGAGAGGCTTGCTCTGGATGACCAGTCCTTCTCCCTAGCTGAGCGGCCAGGGTTCAGGCAGATCATGGCCCCATCCTACCAAGTGCCTGCATGCACCACCTTTAGCAGGTTAGTGGTATCCTCCCTGTATGAGGCAGGCAAGGAGTACTTGAGGGAGGAGCTGCACAAGACAGGCCCGCAGGTGGCATTGCACTTCATGTCAGACATCTGGAGCAGCTGGACTGTGACCCCTTGGCCTATTGGGCAACCCACAGCCAGATGTGGCAGGATCTGGCCACAGTTGCCTGGGAACACCTGTTCTGTCCACCAACCAGTGTTCCAAGCGAGAGGGTGTTTAGCATTGCTGAGGATGTTATGACACCACACCACACTTCCTTGGATCCTGGGTTGGTGGAGCAGCTGGTGTTCCTCAAGGTGAACAAAGCTGGCATCATGGACAGCCTTGACTATATTGGCCCCAATGTTGGTGACCATGAACCCATGGGTGAGGGCACCCTGCCCAATGAGCCACCCCTGCACAATGCAGTGCATGGCCACCATGATCTCCATTGCTTTGTGGGAATCATCCATCATCTCAGCTTGAAGGAGAGCCCACCGACAGCCTGGCTAATAGCACCAGTGCCCTGTTAGGGAGAGGTAGGCATGATCTCCACCCCAGCTGCTCCAGATAGCCAAGGTGAAGTGCAAGGCCACCTGTGGACCTGTCTTGTGCAGCTCCTCCCTCAAGTACTACCTGCATGCCTCATACAGTGAAGGCACCACTGTCCTGCTAAAGGTGATGCATGTAGGCACTTGATAGGATGGGGCCACGAGTGCCATGAGCTGCCTGAACCCTGGCCGCTTAACTAGGGAGAAGGGTGGCCATCCAGAGCAAGCATCTCCTCAGTGCTCTGGGTGATCTCACTCACCTTTGCAACATGCCTCCCATTTCTGTCTGTCTTTCCCCCACTGTTCCAGGGTGGCCTGCCTGTGCTTCTTGGGGATGGGGGCTTTGGAGCAAGAGGGGGACTCCTTTTTGGGCATGCTCACACTGATGCTAGACTGAGGAGCAAGGGCAAGGGGGTGGTGCCTGTGGAGATGCATCAACATCCCCATGGTGCTCATGTATTTCGTTCCCTTTCCCCAGCTGTTTTTGGCTCAGCAGTGCAAGCAGAGAGCATATGTGGGATCATCTGCTAACTCAAAAGGATGCCAGACCACACTACACCCTTGCTTCTGGGGTGCGGGTGCATGTATGGATGCTGCCTTTTCTCCCTCCTCAGCAGGCAGAGGCACAGCAGCAGGAGGAGAGGACTCAGCTGAGCCACTTGCCTCCACAACCTAAACATCAGCTTCCTCTGAACTGCCTTCTGGGGAAGGAGACCTGGCTCTAGGGGAACTTGGAGCGGAGTGGAGCACAAATTCAGATTCCTCCTCAGTCCCCAGAATTTCTTTTGCTAGGGCACTCAGGTCCCCTGCTTCCAGATCCAGCTTCTCCTCTGGCACTGGAAGGCTCAGGCTGGGAACTGAAATGGGGGTGGAGGATACTGTCATGCTGGTGCTGTTTGTCATGATTATTATTATGGCTGGTGTTATTGGAGAGGGTGCAGATGCAGGCACCGATCCCACCTCCTTGCTGCCACCAGCACCACAAGCCTCATGCCTGCTAGTGCTAGGAAAGAGTCTAAGTTTGGGGGAGGGGGAACTTACAGCTCTCCCTCTGCCCCCTCTGGCTCCCCTGCCAGAAGACCTGGCACCGGGCTTTCCAGAACACTTCATATTTCATGTGCTGGAAAAAAATGTGTGTGTGTGTGTGTGTGTAATGTATGTGTAGTGTTTTCCTGCAGTGCACAGTGATGGGACACTGCCAGACAAAGCACTGCTTTTTGATGGGGTGGGAGTGGGGGAATAAAAACAAACAACAGGATTTTGGGGGGGGAAAGTTGCAAGGGATAACAATAGGGAGGGTAAGTAAGGGTAAATAGGAAAGGATTGGCTACAACTTGGTAGGAAGGCACTACCAAGCTGCAAGCTTACAGATGCTGCTCTCTGCTATTCTACTGCTACTGCTGCTACAGACACAGATGCAGCTGCAAAATGGCAGAGAGCAGTTCACAAACAGCCTTTTATGGTGCTTCTCTGTCCCTCCCCCAGAGCACTGGGATTGGAAGGGACCTCAGGGATAGATTGTTGTCACTGGCTAGCTACAGATGTCAATATCAGAGCAGTCCTTCCCCCTTCCTGTCCCTCTGTC